AATTCTCCTACTGCACCCTTAATCTACAGTCAACTCGATACATCATCTTCAGACTTTCAGAATCATACTCTAGCATCAGGCATTGACTCTCCTTGATAAGCTTCCTTCTACTTGATCTTGCAACTGTTGCCCCCTGAAATGTTGGCACTCTCAGTTTCTCAGACCCTGGGAGGGAAATTCTGCCCACGTGTAGTTAGTAGCGGCTGTATTTTTTTTTCTCCAGTCCCAGACCTGCATCTGGTACTCTCTTCTTCCCTGACTCTAGAGTTTTGACAGTTCTTCTTCTGTGTGTGTGTGTGTGTGTGTGGGGGGGGGGTGTCCAACTCTGGAGGGAAGGGGCCTAGAAGAGCATCGTAGAGGTGGATGTGGAAGGAGCCGGGTGGACTTCCGGCCTTTCACTAGTGCCCCTCTGCCTGTTTCCCCTCTCTGACCCCCAGTTAATCTCATTTACTGATGTTGCTATTAAGCTGGCTAGGAGGCTCTTGTCCTGGCAGCTGGTTAATTGGGCAGGGAGTCATGTTGAGCCTTTTGCCTGCAAAAGTCAGGGGAAGACCAGAAATTCAGTTTTAACATTGTGTCCTCTTCTCCAATCAGGGGGCCTGGCACCCATTCCTGTTCCCCTCCTCCCAAACCTGAGCCTTCCTGCCTCTGTTTCCCTGGCTTCCTCCCCCATTCCGTCTCTGTCTAGTATATCCGGATTAGCTGGCTGGCTTCTGGGGCGCCTTTGCTGAGTAATTCGGAATGAGTGAGGCCAATGAAGGAAGGGAGGGGTAGGTTTAGCATTGTCCTGCTTAGGGGCTCCTGATGGCCAGGACTTTCTAGCTGAAGTACCTGACTTGGGTTCCTGTTTCAGGTATATATACAAGGTGCTGGAGAGCCAGTTGTAATGGGGAGGCTGGGGTGATAAGGGTAGGGTGTAGAGCAGGGACATTAAATTGAGTGGGAGAGTGGGAGATGATTATGGAAGCAAAGAACTTGGGAATAAATGAGGGTACAAGGGTCAGGTGCTAGACCTCTTAGAAGGATGGAGTAGAAGAGGAAGCCTTGCTTGGCGACGGTTTGAAGACGATGGTGGTGGGGGTGTATGGGGTAGACTGCCAGAGCCATAGGATATGAGGAGTAGGAAGTTGGAGGATGGCGCCTGGACTTGGGTAGAGATGAGAGGTGCTGAGGCCTTGGCTGGAGAGGGGGCTGTCGGGAGGGTGGAGAAAGGGGAGCCAATGGGCTGGAGGAGAGGGAGGGGGAGGAGCTGGTCAGGCCCCAGGGCCTTCCGCACTGCACTGCTGGGGGAAAAGGAGGCGGTCGGGGCGGGCGCCTGAAGCCTGAGGCGCTGGGCTGGCCCAGTGACGGCTGCCTCGGTCCCCATCCCCAGAAATACCGCTACCAAGATGAAGACACGCCCCCTCTGGAGCACAGCCCGGCCCACCTCCCCAACCAGGTAAACGCCCCCGAGCTGGTGCACGTGGCGGAGAGGAACTTGTCCCACCTCGAGGCCGTCCATGGGGTCGTGGGCCACGCCCACCTCTCCCCCCTCAAGGTAGGAGACCCTGGCGGCCCCCTCCCCAGTGCGGCCCTCGGAACCTCGGAGCTGCAGCAATCCCCAAGGGCCGGTAGGGCAAGAGCTATGGGGGAAAAGATTGGGGATGGTCTGGCATCTGGGTCTTGGGCTCCTGGGGCTGGGGTGAGGGGGGGGGTGTACTTCTTGATTGGGGTGGGGCACGATGCTGGAAACGTTTTGGTCTCACAGAAGAGAAGTAGGCCAGGCAAGTGGGAGTGGGTGCAGAGCCTAAAGCCAGGATGCATGTGCCTTTTCGTGTGTTTGGTGTGTTGAGATGGGTGGAGGATCCCCAGAAGTGCCCCCGATGCCGGGGCCCTTCATTCTTTCACATGCCCAGCCTCCGCTTCAGTTTTCTGTGTCCAGAGCGCTGTTCCAAGTGCCTGGTGCCCTGATTTGCTCCTGACCCTTTCCCCACTCCTCCCCCAGCCTCTGCCTCTGGGCCTGGCTCTGCCTGTTCCCGAGTCTCCAGCTCTTTCCATCTGGCTGGAGTGAGACTTCAAGTCTTGGTCCTTTCTGCCTCTTCCTGTGCCCCAGCCTTTGCTGCCCTCCCGTCCCCCCTCCCCGCTGCCTGGCTGGCTGCTTCTTGATGCTGTCTCTCTCTTCCTCCCACGCATGCATCTCCTTCCCCCTCTCGCTGATCCCCAGCTCAGGCCTCTGTGGCCTGATCAATCCTTTCCTGGTTTGAGCAGTCGGTCCTCCTCTGCCCTCCAGCTCCCCATTTCCTTCCATTTCGCTCTTCCCTGATCGTCTCTGTCTCTTCCTCCTCTTGCTCTCTCTTCCACCATACCTTCTTAGCCATCCCCTGTCCTCATTATATATGGCCACCTGTTCCCCTACCCTCCTCCTTGGTGCTCACAGTATGCTTTCCGTATTTTTTTTTCCCTCCAGGCCTGAGAGGCCTTGTTTCCCAGCCCCCTTTCTCTCAATCTCCTCTTCTAGGGACACAAGCTGTAAGATTGAGGAGAACACCGAGGGGCCAGAAGTGTGGGATGCTTTAGGAAGGGGGACCCCGGCTGCTGACATTTTACTAAGAAGGTGGGAGGGGGTCTGTGAGCCAGGGGTGAGGCAGGAAAGTGCCTGCGGCAGTCTCTGAGGCTAAAAGTGGCAAAGGGAGGGGTTGGGGGAACGGGGAAGGGCAAGGGTCTTAAGGCATAGGGGTAAGACTGGAATTGGGCTACTCAGTCAGCTGCTTGAGAGGAAGGAGCATGAACACTGGGCATGGGAACAGAGTATGCGCAGCTCTGTGCCTTCAAGGGGTCAAAGAAGACTCCAGGTGCCTTTTGTAAGAGGGGGCCGTGATGTCTTGGGTAGGGAGGAACAGGTGTTTGAGGGCAGTCGTTGTACAGTGCGAAGGTGTGGTGGTACCAGAGCTCAGGGAGTGGCTGAGAGAGTTCTAGAAGAGGCCGCAGGTGAAGGTGGGAAGTCTCAGGACAGGGCTTCAGCTCAGGGGCTGGAGATGCTCCAGTGTCCAAAGGAGTTGGCGAGTGGGCTGAGAAATGGAGGGCTGTGATTGGGGGATAGAACCTTAAGGGGTTGAAGATAAGGTAAAGGGGAATAATGAAGTGCTCTCTCTCCTCAGAGAGGTGACAGGCGAGGATAGGAGAGGTAAGGGATAGAGCTGAAGTCTGGTATAGGGACAGGGAGGTGGGTGGAGAATGGTGACTGGGGTTGGAAGATTTTGGAAAACTGAAGGCTGGGGCAAGGATCTAGGGAGGGTGTGGGGTTAGGGTAGAGAGAAAGAATAGGGAGGGACTGGGTGTGGGGAGAGGTTGTAGTATAAGGGTGGGTCTGAGGATGTGTGCCACGGAGGATGAAATTGAGGATGACTTCAGCAGCCAGTGACTGTTGGCTAGACAACAGCGTTTGCCTGGGGGCGGGGTGGTGGCGGTGGAGATGACAGCGATTCATGGGTATGAAATCTATTGAGGGGCCTGAAATGGTTGGGAGTTTCTGGGCTTGAGAAATAGCAGTAAGGGAGAAGAGGGACCTTTATAGGAGAGGGAGAACTTAGGAAGGGCACTGGGAATCCTCGTACTCGGTCGGTTTCAAGTATTTGTCTAAGGAGGAAATAGATTGGGGACCACCGGAAGGAGTCTCTTGGCAGCCTCACCTCATTGCCATAGAGACGTGGCTTCGGTTGCCCTGGCAATTGGGGAAGCCCCTAGGACAAGTCTAAAGCTGTCCCCGCCCTGCAGTTTAGCTAGAGACCCGGCTGCGTAGAGGCCACTGACGTCAGGGACCAGGGCACGCCTCGCTTTAACCCTTTCCTTAATGAAGTGGGGGCGGGGAGGAGCGGAGGCAGTAGAGGAACAGGCTATGTTCTGGATGCCTTTTACCATTCCTCCTTCCTGACGTTTTTTGCACTGCGTAGGGTGAGGGGCTCAAAGGAGAAGGGAAGGCAGGTTATTCAGGATGCACTGCGCCCACGCCCACGAACAGAATCGTTCTGGCCTCTTAGCCGGGCTAACGGTGGGCGGGTCCAGAGCCGGAGAGTCTTTTGCTCTAGGGAGTCTGTCGTACCCTAGGCCACGCCCCCACCCGTTGTCCTGACTACCAGGCCTCCTGGAGGTGGGTCTCCCCAGGTCTTGGCTGGTCTTAGATACTGTTGCTAGGCAACCTGGTCCCTGGAGGAAGGGGTGGATTGGTGGCGGGTGGATGAGAGAGAGGGAGGGACCAGAAGCTGGGGAAACCCCGGATTCTCATGGCGCAAGATTTAGAGCAAATGTGTGCCAAGGTGAGGGACAAATTTGGGGGAGGTTTATCAAGATATCTGGGTGACTTTGAGGGTATAGAGACAGGAAGGGGGCCCCAAAGAGGAGAGCAGGACCTAGTGGACCTGAACCCTGGGGTGTAATGCGTAGCACGTAATGCATGTAACACCCTGTAGCGTTACATCCGGTGAGAAGCATCCCCCCCCACCAGCATGCTCCCCCTTTCCCCACTCTGTACCATCTGCTGCTCCCCTCTCCGTCTGGCTGTCTCTCTCTTCCCTCTTCTCATACACCTCTTTAAACATCCAGGGGCCTGGGGTGCGTGCGTGTGCGTGTGTGTGCACGAGTGCATGCATGTTTGTGTAATATAGACAGGCTGGGTCCTTGAGTTGCTCTAAAGGTGGTGGAGTGGGCTTGGCTACGCATCTAGAAGGGGATCCAGATTGGTAGGACCCACCTTTGGTTATGGACCTCCTCTGGAGTCTAGGCTTAGGTGGCTTTTTGTCTTCTGTCTCCTCTCCCAGGCCAATTCTCCCCCTGTGATTGTCAACACGGACACCCTAGAAGCGCCAGGATATGTGAGTTGTTTAGATTTTGGAGCTGGGGCCCTAGCAGAAGGGTAGGAGAGAGGAAGGAAGAAGTCCCTCCCTATGCGGGGAAGGAGGGGCACGTTCTCTGGCCGGAATGTCTTGTCTCACTGTTTTTGTGTTTCTGTCCCGTGCTGGAGTTGCAGGTGAACGGGACAGAGGGGGAGATGGAATACGAGGAGATCACGTTGGAAAGGGTAAGAGCCAGCCCCTCCATCCAAAGTCCCCGGGCTTGGGCTGGTGTTGCTTTTTGTGCCTGTGTTTCCTAGGTGTCCAGACACTTAACTATGTCCCTGTGTGTTCTAGCTGTGCCTTTCTAATCCTGTCCCCTCCCCGCCTCCCTTAACAGAATGAATGGGGCAGTAAAGGGAGCCGACCCTCTTGTCCTTCTTCTTACCAGGGTAACTCAGGTCTGGGCTTCAGCATCGCAGGTGGTACCGACAACCCACACATCGGTGACGACCCATCCATTTTCATCACCAAGATCATTCCTGGTGGGGCTGCAGCCCAGGATGGCCGCCTCAGGTGGGAAAAGAAGACAGGGTTTAGGAAGCTAGCACTTGCTGGGCAGTGGTGGCACACACCTTGAATCCCAGCACTTGGGAGGCAGAGGCAGGTGGTTGGAGGCCAGCCTGGGCTACAGAGGGAGTTCCAGGACAGCCAGGGCTGTTACACAGAGAAACCCTGTCTCAACAAACAAACAAACAAACAAACAAAAAAGGCTAATACTCTGGAAAGGGAGGGCTGGAAGCTCCTGGCTCAGACCCATATTGTTGTTCCCAGGGTCAACGACAGCATCCTGTTTGTAAATGAAGTGGATGTTCGGGAGGTGACCCATTCCGCTGCGGTAGAGGCCCTCAAAGAAGCAGGTTCCATTGTTCGCCTCTATGTCATGCGCCGGAAACCCCCAGCTGAGAAGGTCATGGAGATCAAGCTTATCAAAGGGCCTAAAGGTAGTAGTGACCTAGCTCCAGCCCCCTCCCAGCCATCCTGCTTCCCCCGCCTCCAGGGCTTGCTCCCCAGGCCCGTGGGCAGCCTCTTCTCCCCTCCTTGCCATCCAGGACTTGGCTTCAGCATCGCAGGGGGCGTCGGGAACCAGCACATCCCTGGAGATAATAGCATCTACGTAACGAAGATCATCGAAGGAGGTGCGGCCCACAAGGACGGCAGGTTGCAGATTGGAGACAAGATCCTGGCGGTGAGGGCCCGAATCATGTTTCTCTTGAGACTCGGGTCTCATGGCAGGCCTGGGGTCCTCACTGCCTGACCGTGTCCGGCTCGGTCTGAGCTTTGCTTCCCTTGACCCCAGGTCAACAGTGTGGGGCTAGAGGACGTCATGCACGAAGATGCCGTGGCGGCCCTGAAGAACACATATGACGTTGTCTACCTAAAGGTGGCCAAGCCCAGCAATGCCTACCTGAGTGACAGCTATGCTCCCCCAGACATCACAACCTGTGAGAGCCCTCCAAACCTCAAAACTCCTCATGACCCATCCTAGTAATTCCTAAGACATGCAATCCCATGACAGCCCCTGTAGCCTATTCTGTGCAATGGCCCCAACCTCTGACCCCTGTGGTGGTTGGAGAGGAGCTGGAACTCACTCATGGTGAAGCACTAAAAAACAACCCAAGGGACACAAGGCCCACTTGGTTTTGTGGTTCTGATCAAATCCTTAAGTAACAGATAATTCATTCTCACATTCTTTAAAAATAATTCCAGGACTCGGAGGCAGAGGCAGGCAGGTCTCTGAGTTAAGAAGCCAGTCTGATCTATGGAACAAGTTCCAGGACAGCTAGACAGAACGACACACAAAAACCCTGTGTGGACTCCCCCCCCCCCCCCAACACACACACCCACACAAATGTAGGGAAAGAACTGGGCATGATGGGACATACCTGCTTTTCCAGTACTTGGGAGATTGAGGTAGGAGGGTCAGGAGTTCAAGGCTATCCTGGGCTACATAGCAAGTCTGAGGTCAGCCTGGGCTGCTGGAGACTTGTGAGAAAATAGGGGAGGAAAAGGATAAAATCTTTACCTTTCATTTCATAAGAGCAGTTCATGCGGTCACAAAGACGCCATGGAAGAAGGAGTGTAGAGGGCAGCTGTGCACCCGGACAGAGAGGTGTAAGTTCAGAACACCCCAGTAGGTATGCACACAGTAGGTCTCCACACACAGCAGCGGCACATCAAGAGGATAACACTGTCACAGAATAAGGTTTATTTCAGAAAACCGTAGCTGGATTAATGTTAGGGAGCCTCTTCACACGATTTGATACATTAAAAGTGAGGAGCAGGGGAATGGTGGTCCACCCCTACAACCCAGCATTCTGGAGCCAGAGGCAGGAGGATTGGAATCCCAGGGCAGCCTGGGCTACATAGGAGACGAGACCCTATCAGAGGAAAGAAGTTAGATGTGAAAGTCCACTGATGGTACTCAGCATCTGTCTTCAGACAAAACCCTTTAATAAACCCGGAGTAGAGATCCTGAGACACAGAGAGTCTTCCTAGCAACCAGCAGCAGATGGTTCACGTTAGGAAATCCCAGCAGTGTGCCTATCACTCCAGGAGCCGGGCAAGGATGCCTCTCACTGCCGACGCTCCCCGTCACTCCAGCACTCCCTCCATGCTGCTGCTGCTGCTGCTGCTGCTACTGCTGCTACTGCTGCTTACCAATAGGAAACTGTTCCCAGAACTTCCAGTAGTTAAAAAGATTACTTACTTTTTCTTGCAGAGGTGACAGGGATAGAACCCAGGGTCTCATGCATGCTGAGCACGTGCTCCACCACTGAATCACACCCCTAGGCCTCAGCCCTGTATAATTTCTCCCCCCACCCTCCTTTTCTTCGTAGAGTGAATATCGATTAATTAGGGAAAAGTAAGAAAGAACTCCTCACAGGGCTGTTTCCTTCCTTGTTTTTTTTTTCTTTTAAGATGGGGTCTTTTTGTGTCACCCAGCTATTCCTTATGTAGTCCAGGCTGGCTTTGAACTTGTGCTGATTCACTTGTCTCAGCCTCCTGAATGCTGGGGTTACAGGTGTGTGTCACCATGCTTGGCTTTAGAATTTTTATTTATAGGTATCTTTTTGTTGTTGTTTTTTCAAGACAGGGTTTCTCTGTGTAGCCCTGGCAGTCCTGAACTCACTCTGTAGACAAAGCTGGCTTTGAACTCAGAGATCCGCCTGCCTCTGCCACTCAAGTGCTAGGATTAAAGGTGTGCGCCATCACAGTCCGGCAAAATGATAAAATTTTAGTGAAGGGTATAAAACAATGCTTTTGGATGTTTTTTTTTTTTTTTTTTTGAGACAAGATTTCTCTGTGTAGCTTTGGAGCCTGTCCTGGAACTCACTCAGTAGCCCAGGCTGGCCTTGAACTCAAGGAGATCTGCCTGGCTCTGCCTCCCAAGTGCTGGGATTAAAGGCGTGCACCACCAACTCCCGGTGGAAAAATTTTTTAAAGTTTTTTTCTTACATTTATTTAATGTGTGTGTGTGTGTGTGTTTCACATGTGTAGGTGTGTGCTCACAGGCTCACACATCATAGTAGAAGTCAGAGGACTGTATGTGAGAGTCTGGTCTCCTTCTATCGTGTGGGTCCTGGGGATCAAATTGAGGTTGGCAGGAATCTTTATTCACTGAGCCTGTATAGAAAAAAAATCTTAGTATGTGAAAGAACTCAACCTTCTTCAAATTACACATTTTATGTGGAATCCTAATCAGAATTTCAGTGTTACCTGTCCCTGGAATTTATGTAGCATCTAAAGTTCAATTGGAAAACTGTGTGGGAGAATAACAAGACATTATTTGGGGAAAGAATGGAATATTATTTTCCTTTATCAAATATGAGACACCATATTCAAATATTATGGTACTATTTGTTTTTCTTTTTTGTTTTTTTTTCAGTTCCTTTTTTTTTTTGGTTTTTCGAGACAGGGTTTCTCTGTGTAGCTTTGCGCCTTTCCTGGAACTTGCTTTGTAGACCAGGCTGGCCTCGAACTCACAGAGATCCGCCTGGCTCTGCCTCCCGAGGGCTGGGATTAAAGGCGTGCGCCACCACCGCCCGACTTCCTTTTTCTTTTTGAGACAAGGTCTCACTGTGTAGCCAAGACTGTCATTGAACTGGCAGTCCTGCTCAGCTCCTAGGACTGGGATTATAAGTGTGTACAGTCATGTCTAGCTTTCTGGTACTACCTCTGAACCCTATAACCTACTAAAAATAACCTGGACTCCTTGGAAAAAGGATGGTTTCCAGTCTTGGGCAAGAGGCATAAGACAGGAGGCAGGAGGGCCAGTATAAACTTGTAATCCTAGTGTTTGGGAGGTTGATGTAGGGGGGGTTGAGAATTTAAGGAAAGCCTGGTTACATAGAACCAGTCTCAGAAAATGACTGGGGATGGTAGCTGGTAGAGTGCTTGCCTAGTGTGCATGAAGCCCTTGGGTTTTATCTCCAGTGCTGGATAAAACTGGGTGTTATGGTTCATGGTCTTAGTGCTCAGGAGATGGAGGTGAGGGGTCAGAAGTTCAAGACCGCACAGTGGGTTTGAGGCCAGCCTGGGCTACATGAGACCCTGGTTTTTTGTTTTGTTTTTTAACCCAAAGCAGGGCTGGGGGTTGACTTCGGTGGCAGAATGCTTGCGTCACAACCATGAGGTCAGAGTTTGTGTCCCTAACACTCCCATAGAAAGCTGGGTGCTGGGGCGCACGTCCATCACTCTGGCTCTGAGGGAGGGTGCAGAGACAGGTGGATTCCTGGAGCTCATTGGCCGGTTAGCCTAGCTGAATCTGTGAGCTCTAAGTAAGTGAGGTGGAGCTAGGCATGGTGGTACACGTCTTCAATCCCAGCACTCGGGAGGCAAATGCCAGGGGATCTCTGCAAGGATAGCCTGGTCTCCATAGTGAGTTCCAGGACAGCCAGAGCTATAGCGAGATCCTATACTGAAATAAATAAACAAATAAAAATTAAGATGGAGAATGCTTTAGAGGGAGACACCCAAAGTCAACCTCTGGCCTCCATCCTTGTGCATGCACATGAATACTCTCTCCTGTGCGCGCGCGCGCGCACACACACACACACAACCAGAAAAAAGAAATACACAAATGTGTAAGATGAACCTTAACATTTGCCATACTAGAGGGCCCCAAAGAAGGGACCCAAGACTATTAGAGTCACATACACGTGAGCCATATTGAAGAGGATTTTCCTGGCCTTTCAGAATTCATTTAGTATTTGAAACACACGAGGTCATAATAATACCTAAGAAAAAGCTGGGAGCCAGGCATGGTGATGGATGTTTATAGTCCCAGCTACTTAGGAGACTGAAGTAGGAGAGTCAGTTGAGCTCAGCCAGGCGACGAGCAGCGCAGTGAGATCCTGACTGGAGAATAAAACCCTAATCAAATGGGTTGGGACCGGGAAGCTGTCACAGAGCGATTGTGTAGGATGAGCAAGGTCTGGGGTTCCATCTTCACTACAAAATCATTTTCTCTTGTTACCTTGGTAGGATGCTAGCTTACCTAGACCTATACCATTCTTCCTGAAAACCTGTAAGGGGAGTAATCAGTCAGTCATCCATCCCCTCTCTTCTGTATCAGCCTTACCATGGAGCAGGCACAAGGTTGCCATGCAGCAGTTCTTGTGTGTGGGTGGGTGGGAGGGTGGGTGTGGGTGTGCATGTTTTCTTATTGCTGTTGTTCGAGATAGGATCTCATTAGATAGCCCAAGCTGACTTCAGAGTCACCAAGTTACCCATGCTGGCCTTCAGCAGTCCTCCTGAGTGGGATAGCAGGCTTGAACACAACACTCTAGCAAAATCTTACTAATGATTGTAGAATACTAACATTTTGCAGTCCCTGCGAATATCAGACTTAGACTCCACCATCAACACCTGCAACAAGAACTTAGGTGGAAGGCTGATGGAGCACATTGTAATGAGCTGATTAGGCTGGCGACACCAGAACCCACCAACTCTAGGAAGACAGGCAGCCAGCCCCCTTTTTTTTTTTTTTTTGAGACAGGGTCTCACCCCGTAGCTCTGATTGGCCTGGAACTCACTGCACTGACCACCCACTGCTTCCCCAGCACTGGGATTTAAAGTGTGTGGCACCACAATCCAGCAGACTTCACCGTGTCCTGTGGTGATGCCGTGGGAAGCTCAAGGCTGGTGGTGCCCTGCGAGAATATTTTCACACTGAATTTGAGTCTGCTCAAGCCTCTAGGACAAGCCTAGAAAAACAAAAAAGGAGAGGAGACAGGGACAGGCACACGGTTAAGCACAATCACAGGATGTAAGCAGGACTATCCCTCGTAGAATGCGGGAAAATGCTTTAGACAAATGATCCAGTTTTTAAAAAAATAAATGACTAGCCATGAGGGGGAGAAATTTTATGGATTGAGAGACACTTTAGCCAAAAGGCAGTCTGAAAAACACGGTGCTAGTATTCCCCTGGGGCGCCACCGTTCCTAGCTTCCTACAGACATACGACCTTCAGGTCAGTGCCCTCTGATGGCATCTGTAAATTCCCGACCCCTGATGCTGCTGATCACCAATACACTTTTCTGGTAGAAAACTCCTCTTTGGCCAAGCCTGGCCCTGGGCTCCCCTGGAGAGGATGGGTGGGTGGGCACTATTGTCTGGAGTTCCATCTCACCCTTTTCTCTCTTCCCTCAGCGTATTCTCAGCACCTGGATAATGAGATCAGTCACAGCAGCTACTTGGGCACCGACTACCCCACAGCCATGACCCCCACTTCCCCTCGGCGCTACTCCCCTGTGGCCAAGGACCTGCTGGGGGAGGAAGACATTCCCCGGGAACCAAGACGAATTGTGATCCACCGGGGCTCCACGGGCTTGGGCTTCAACATCGTGGGTGGCGAGGACGGTGAAGGCATCTTCATCTCCTTCATCCTCGCTGGGGGCCCTGCTGACCTCAGTGGGGAGCTGCGGAAGGGGGACCAGATCCTATCGGTGAGAAAGGCCTGGGCAGGCCTCTGCACTGCCCCCTGAAGAGAGCGCTATGCTCTTGGGGAGGGTATGGCTGGGGTGCAGCCTGGTCCTCCTGGACCATTCCCTGACCCACTCGGACCCAAGAATTACTTACTGTCTTCCTGTCCCAGGTGACAGCCTCTTCTCCCCTGTCTAGGTCAATGGTGTTGACCTCCGCAATGCCAGCCATGAGCAGGCTGCCATCGCCCTGAAGAACGCGGGTCAGACAGTCACGATCATTGCTCAGTATAAACCAGAAGGTACCAGGCCTAAGCTTCCCTTCTCATTGGCTAAACTAGTGCTCAGAACTGCCACTTTAGCCGATGGATGGCCTCAGCGGGGCTGGGGTGAGGTGAGGATGGGGGTGTGTGGGTGTGCGGTATTAGGATGGGACAGAGTTCCAGAACCTTCTTGTCCTTTCTCAGAGTATAGCCGATTCGAGGCCAAGATCCATGATCTTCGGGAACAGCTTATGAATAGTAGCCTGGGCTCAGGGACTGCATCCCTGCGGAGCAACCCCAAGAGGGGTTTCTATATCAGGTGAGACGCTCCTGGGCGTGACGTTTGAGGACGCCATGTATTATTTCTCCCCTGAACATGTGTCCATTCCCCACACAGCTCCTTCCCTAAATCTTGCCTGCCTTCTCCTCCCCCACCTCACTCAGACCTGACACTCAGCCCGCAGCTCACGGGCTTGGCCACACAGGCTGATCTTCTAGAATATATTATCTGGGTTGAAAAGCAGCCTCTGCCCCAAGTGTCTTAATTGCCTTCTAGCCCCTGGTCACCCACGCATTTCCCCAACAGCTATTACAGTGGGACCTAAGGTCCATGTCTGACCCAGCAGGCATCTCTAGCACCTTTCCTCCCTCCCTCCCTCCCTCCCTCCCTCCCTCCCTCCCTCCCTCCCTCCCTCAGCTGAATTTGAACTCCTATGCTTTAGTAATCTTCCTGCCTTAGATTACAGGCACTTGTCACGGTGCCCAGCTCTGGGATATTTTGAGTCCTCTTTCGGCTTGGCATCCCTGTGGGAAGCCTTGGTGGGAAGGACCGCAGCTCTCTGTGCCTGCCTCCTGTCTGTCTTTTCCTTCCTTCCATCTTTTTTTCCTGCGCTGGGGATTGAGTCCAGAGCCTCATGCATGTTGGGCTTACACTGAAAGCCCCGCTGGAGACACACCCCAGCTTCATCCCCTGACCGCTCATAGCATTTGTCCCCTTGTCAGGTTCCTTCGTGGTTCCTCTTCTGTCCCCTCACAGGGCACTGAGGCCCCCTCCCCCCCCTCGCCTCTCTTTGTCCTCTTTCTTTGTCCACCTGGCCGGCCTTACCTGCCACTCTGCTATACAGGTGTCTCTTAAGGCTGTCTGGCCTGGCTTGATACCGTCTTGGAGGCCTAGACCAATTCTGGCTGCTGCTTTTGGGCCATCTCCATTGGGCTGTCCCATGGGCGTGTCCCATTCGACACGTCCTGGGCTTGCTGTGTTTCTCCTGGATGCTGTGTTCCTTCTCGGAGGCCCGCATCCCTGCTCCCCGCATCCCTGCTCCCCGCTCTCCCGCCTGGTGGAGTCTAGTCGGTCCCTGAGGATGTGTGATTCTCACCGCAGCGGACACTGCGCGACCCAGTCCCACTGTTTCCTCTGTGTCTTTGTTCCTTCAGAAACTTGACAGAGCTTTTAGTCCCTAGGCGGTTTGGGGGTTTCTCTGTGTGTGCCACCAGCGGTCCATGCTCTGTAACGGATCCCTTGTCCAGAATCGGGCTGGTTCTCGAGGTGGCTGCTGCATCCTTCCTGGAGTTCTCAGCCAGGCCCTGACCCACAGTCCCTTGTGCTCTAGGGCCCTGTTTGATTACGACAAGACCAAGGACTGCGGCTTCTTGAGTCAGGCCCTGAGCTTCCGCTTTGGGGATGTGCTTCACGTAATCGACGCTAGCGATGAAGAGTGGTGGCAGGCGCGGCGGGTCCACTCTGACAGTGAGACCGATGACATTGGCTTCATTCCCAGCAAACGGCGGTGAGGCTCCTGGGGACGTGCAGCCTTCCTGACAGAGGCATTGACATTCACAAGGTCTCCCCGGGCCGGGGGGGGGGGGGGGGGGGGGGGGGGGGGGGCGGGGCGGGTATTCAGTGGAGGATTCTTGGGGGGTGTGTGCTAGACCCCGCTGGGGGACCATGGCTCCCATCAGCCCTTGGGAAAGGACTTCTCACTGAGGTACACGGGGCCCATGTGTGGCTGGGAAGACGGCCTTCCCACCTGGTTCAGAGGGTGGGGCCTCATGGAGCCTTTCCCTGCTGTTCCCTGCCCTTCCTCCATGTACCCCTCAGGGTTGAGCGACGAGAGTGGTCCAGGTTAAAGGCCAAGGTAGGTGGGGGGGGATGGTGATCCTGGCGGGGGGAGTCGTGGGGGTGGCCTCTGAGCTAAATCCTGAACTTACCATAAGGGTGGTTTTTCTTCTAGGACTGGGGCTCCAGCTCTGGATCACAGGGTAGGTAGGACTAATTGGAAAGCTGTGGGATGAGTGGGGCGTGGCGTTTTCCCTTGACGTTCTCGGGAAGGCAGGCAAGATGGTCTCCAAGTCCCCTGTCTTGGAGCCTGCTGCAGATGCCCTGTCTCCTACCAGGTCGAGAAGACTCGGTTCTGAGCTATGAGACAGTGACGCAGATGGAAGGTGAGCCCTAGCCCCAGCCTCAGCTTTCCTGCCCGCCCGCCCTCTCTGCTTGCTGCCTAAGCCCTTCCGGCTCTTTCTCCTCAGTGCACTACGCTCGCCCCATCATTATCCTTGGGCCCACCAAAGACCGTGCCAATGATGATCTTCTCTCTGAGTTCCCCGACAAGTTTGGATCCTGTGTCCCCTCGTGAGTACAGGGGCCTTGGATAGAGATGGAGTTGGGGGACCTAAGGCGACCTACTTTGTCAGGGCCATGACAGGAGTACAGTGGGACACAGGTCACCGTGGAGGAGGGGTGCTGCCTGCCCACTTGTGTGTCTGTAGCAGGCAAGGCTGGGCCCGAGCCTGGGAGGCCCCTGGGTGGCACTTCTGTCCCACCTGAGTCTCAGTCTCCCCAGCAGCATCCTACCAAGGACCAGCTGGGTCCTGGGGTGGGGGGTGGGGGGCTTGATGTAGGCTAGTATTAAGGGATGGTGGTTAGATCTTTGTGGGATGGGATGACTTCTTGGCAGATACGACACGTCCCAAGCGGGGAATATGAGATAGATGGCCGGGATTACCACTTTGTGTCCTCCCGGGAGAAAATGGAGAAGGACATTCAGGCGCACAAGTTCATTGAGGCTGGCCAGTACAACAGCCACCTCTATGGGACCAGTGTCCAGTCTGTACGAGAGGTAGCCGAGCAGGTAAGAGCTGGTGGGCACCGCATCCTCTTCCTCCTGCCCTCTCCCCGCCCCGTTGCCTCCCTCCAGCTCTCTCTAACTCTCTTTCTCTCTGTCTCTTTCCCTGCTGGGTCTGCTCCTCCACCTCCTTCTCCTCTTCCGCGCCCGCTCCCCTCGCTTCCTGACCCCCATGGCCCTCCACTGCCATCTGTCCCCGTCCATCTCTCCTCTGCTTCCCACTCCTTGCCCCATTTCTCCTCTCTTCCTGGGGCTTTGCCTCTGGTGGCTTGGCCTTCCCCACCTCGTTCCCTCCTCTCTCCCTGACTCCCCTCTGCTCCTCTCTCTCTCTCCTCTGATGGGGGGGGGGGTCCTCACTACCCTCTCTCTCACCCCTCCTCTCACCCTTTTCCCCCACTGCTCCCCACCCTGCCCGCCCTCCCTCGGTGGCTCTTTTCTCCATCTGCCTCCCTCCCTCCCATCTGGCTCTCCCATTCCTTCCATCTGTCTGTCCTCTGTCTGTCCTCCTCTCCCTCCTCCCTCTATCCTAATTCCTTCTTCCTTTTCCCTTTCCTGTCTTGCCCTACCTGCCCTGGTCCTCCCCGCATCCCACCTCTCCCGCCCCCCGCGTCCTTGCTCGGGCCTTCATCCTTTGGGTCCTGTGCCTCCTACACTTTGTTCTAACCCCTTCCCTGCCCTCCTGTGCCTGGCACTCCATCTTCCCTTCCCTCCCCTCTACTGGTCGCTCTGTCCACACCTTTCTGTTTTCTTGCCTGCATGTCCTTTGACATCTGTCACTTCCCCTTTGGCCAACCTCCTGCCCCCCCAACCTTTCTATATTCTGTGTTTCTTCCTGGCACCTCTGTCTGTCCTTTCCTGCTACCCCGCTGGTCCCCCCTCCGCCTACCCTGCCTGCCCCCAGGGGAAGCACTGCATCCTCGATGTCTCGGCCAATGCCGTGCGGCGGCTGCAGGCGGCCCACCTGCACCCCATCGCCATCTTCATCCGCCCCCGCTCCCTGGAGAATGTGCTGTGAGTACGGTCCTGGGGGCCCCCTCTGCCCCCTACGCTTGTGATCATGGCCTCTCATGGCTCCTACCTTGATCTGTCCTCTCAGAACCTTGCCAACAATTCCCACCATGCTCAGAGAGCTCAGCTGAGAGTGGAGAGCCCGGGACTGGACGCAATGGCAGGCTTCTCCTGCCTCGGCCTAGGCAGGACTCCAGTTCTCAGTAGCGCCCCCCAGGGGGCGTACACAGGCCGGGGCAAATCAGAACCTCAGAGGCAGTTGGAAGTTGGAGTCCGGATCCCCTCTGTGGGGTCTAAAGACTGGAACGATGAGTTCCAGAGAGGTCCTGGGTCGGGGTGGGTTGCCGTGAGCTCATCTGCAGCCCCAGAGAATGTCAGAAATTATGTTGTTGGCTATGGGCTCCAACAAGGAGAAAAGTTGCAATTTAGCATGCTAGGATTGAGGAGGTAAAAAATGCAGAGAGGGGGCCCACCCTTCAGATCTGCCTCTCTCTCCCTCTTGACAGAGAGATCAATAAGCGGATCACAGAGGAACAAGCCAGGAAAGCCTTTGACAGGGCCACTAAACTGGAGCAGGAATTCACAGAGTGCTTCTCAGGTGAGAGGTCGCAGTTCCCGTGAGCCACGAGGACAGGGAGTCTACTGAGATCTGATGGAGCTGCCCGACTGGGTTGGTGTTGGGAAGAGGTGTCCTGTCAGTGGGCGCGGGGGACCCCTGGCTCCTTTGCTCTGGGCTCCTTGGGCACGTGTTCTTGGGACCTTGACCTCACTCCCTGCTCCACCCGACTCACAGCCATCGTGGAGGGCGACAGCTTTGAGGAGATCTACCACAAAGTGAAGCGTGTCATTGAAGACCTCTCAGGCCCCTACATCTGGGTCCCAGCCCGAGAGAGACTCTGATTCCTGCCCTGGCTTGGCCTGGACTCACCCTGCCTCCATCACCTGGGCCCTTGGTCTGGACTGAATAGCCCGAGCCCTTTGTACCCCAGCCCCCCTTCCCACCCTTCTTATTTATTTCCTTTATAACTGGATCCAGCCCATTGGAGGGGGGGACACTCCTCTGCATGTATCCCTGTACCCCAGAACAGGGCTCCTGGACCCCAGGAACCTGGGGCCTGGGGGTGTGGGGTTGGGCTCTTGGTTTCCGAGCCTTTGCTCCTTAGGACCCCTGCCCGTGCCCGCCCCCCACGCACACACAGACCCACTGGGGGCCTCTGCCCTCCCCATTTTCTCCCACATACATTCCAGAAGTCAGGGCCCCTCTCAAGGAGTACCCGCTGTAGGGATGCAGGGCCACAGGCCTCCGCGCTCTCCTGAGGCAGGGGCTGGGGTCACCCCTGCCCCATCATAACTCCCCATGTCATTTGAGTTCTCATTTATTTTCTCCATTTTTTTCTTCTCAAAGGTGGTTTTTGGGGGGAGAAGTGGGGGACTCTGCGGTGGGGTCCCTGTCTTCCACATGCCTCCCACCTTTCTTCTCCGCCGGTTTGCATGAGTGGAAGGCCTAACTGTGGCTTTTTTTTTTTTTTTTTTTCTGGGATTTTTTTTCCTTTTCTTTTTTCTTTTTTCTTTTTGGGGGGGAAAGGGGAGGGATGGGTCTAGGGAGTGGGGAATGTGGGAGGGGGGGTGGGGGGTGAGGGGTCAGGGGTTGGGTGTCCGGGAGCCAGGGGATGACAGGAAATGCTGCCGCCTTCTGCAATTTATTTATTTATTTTTTCTTTTGAGAGAGTGAAGGGAAGAGACAGATACTTGAAACCCAGTGTGTGGCCTGCTTCTTTGGGGTGAGGGAGGGAAGTGGAGACACAGGTGGGTGCCTGGGATGGGCGAGTGAGAACTTCAGATGCCTCCTTACCTCACAGGGAATAGGGTGCCTGAAAGGGTCCTGGGAAGGAGCTATCAGGCCAAGGCGGCAGAGATGGTGACGAACGGGCCTGGGAATCGCTGGAGCTGTGCTAGTCACCGGCAAACTCAGTCTAGCCCTGACCATTCCCCTAGCTGGCCTCCTCCGGTTGTCATTTATTCCTAAAGAAAAATCCAGAAGCTCCTTGACTTAGAGTAGGCAGAAAATGACCTGTGTACAAGATTGTGTACAGAATGTAGAAATTTAATATACCTCACTTGCTGAATTTAGGACACAGCTTCATCCGTCTTGAAGGGCTCAGAGCGTCGGCCCATAGCTGAGCAAAGCCTGCTCTGTTCTAAAGTACCGAGCAGGCCCTGGGGTGGCCTGGAAGCGAGGCATGCTGCTGTTGCCCGGCATCAGGTCACTCAGTGAATCGCTAGCCCATAAAAGGATCAAAAATCCAATTATGGAGGTTTACATCTGTAATCCCCAGCACTTGAGAGGCTGAGGCCGGAGAATTGGGTGTTCAGGGTTAGCCTAGGCTACGCAGCCTGAGCTGCAGAATGAAGCTTTCTTAAAAAGTGAAACAAAATGCAACAAAACCAAAAAGCAGTTTCTATTCCAGGTTGGCCCATCAAGGCTGGGGCTGCATAGAGGGACCGACCATTCTTTGTTCTGTTCATGGGGTTGTGGACAGACCTTTACAGGAGTTTGCTGATGAGGGATGCTATAGGAATAGTTATTCGTTGGATTTCTTTATGCTCCATCTCTACAGGAAAAGATTTGTGGTGTCTTTGCAAATACTGTGGGTAGAAAAACAGAAATGTGACCATAAGAGCTGGAGAAGTGCAGGTGGGCGTATAACCCCAGCACTTGACCAATAGGCTACCTGATGCCACCACTGTGGTGCCATCCCCATGTCTGTCTGATTGTCAGAGACCCCTGAGGGGAAGGCTGAGGTGGGGGCTCCCTGAGAGTCGTTAGATCCTCCACAGTTGCAAAAGGGAAGTTTCTGTAGCCGTTCCTGAGCAAAGATGAGGAGTGGGTGTAAAAGACCAACCTAGGAAGCCGGGCGGTGGCTGCGCACGCCTTCATTCACAGCACTTGGGAGGCAGAGGCAGGAGGATCTCTATGAGTTTGAGGCCAGCCTGGTCTACAGAGTAAGTTCCAGGACAGCCAGGGCTACACAGAGAAACCCTGTCTCAAAAAACAAAAAAGCCAGATGATGGTGGTGCACACCTTTAATCCCAGCATTCAGGAGGCAGAGGCAGGCGGATCTCTGTGAGTTCAAGGCCAGCCTGGTGTACAGAGCGGGTTCCAGGACAGCCAGGGCTATTATATAGAGAAACCCTGTCTCGGGAAAACAAAACAAAACAACAAAAGGCTAGCCTAGGAGAAGTGGTTCTGGGGAAGACATGTCATCCAACAATCAGATCACTAGAGTACTGTTGCATAAACCTGTGACTCTGTATTGCCCAGTGTATATTCGCGCAGTATCCTGCCTCACAAGACTCACCCTTCCAAGTCTGAGGGTGGAGGACCCAGGGGTCTACATGTCTGGAAAGCTCCCCGTGGTTCTGCCATCCTGTTGGGTAGAAAGACACTGCTTCAGAGGGTAGTTTTCAGATCATTCTCTTAGCTGGGTTCTGTGTAGGATGAGGCAGGGTGAAGCTGCCTTTATTTTCCATCATGGGCCAATAGGAGTAATCTAGGAGCTGAGGAGGGTGTGCTAAGGCAATGGGGCTGAGTCCAAGGAGTTGAGGAGAGTTTACCTAGAAGGGTGGATTAGCCAGTTTTGTTCTTTATTAAGTTCCTCAGGCTGGTTTCAAACTTGTCATCCCACTACAGCCTTCTGAGTGCTGGGATTACAAGTGTACACCTCCACACCGGGCTCAAATGCTATGTTACTGCTTTTAATTAAAAATAAATTCTCACGTTTGTGTGTGTGTGTGTGTGTGTGTGTGTGTGTGTGTGTGTGTGTGTGTGTCTATGAGAGTGTATGCCACATTCACGTGGCTGCTCCAGGAGGCCAGAAGAGAGTGTTGGGTGGTCCCCTGGAACTGGAGTTACAGGTGGTTGTGAGCTGCCCAGTGTGGGTGCTGGGAACCAAACTCGGGTTCTCTGGAAGAGCAGTGAGTGCTCTTGACTGCTGATCCCTCTACAGCCCTTAGTTTTGTTTTTTGTTTATTTTTTCCCTTCTTACATTGTGTGTGTGTGTGTGTGTGTGTGTGTGTGTGTGTGTGTGTGTGTACATGCATGTACCGTGCTAGCACATGCGTGCATACACCAAGGTGCTTGGAGGTCAGAGGCCAACCTGGAGTAGATACTCTTCCTGCCACGTGAATTCCAAGGATCGAACTCGGTTTTCAGGCTTGGTGGCAAGTATCTTGATCTGCCATCTGCCTGGCTGTTATTGTTTTGTTTTGTTATTTCGAGAGGCAGGGGTCTCAGGTTCCCAACCTGGCCTCAAACTGCAGGCAAGGATGGCCTTGAACTCCTGACTCCTCTGCCTGCGCCCTCCAAGTGATGGGGTTAGAGGCATCCATCATCATGCCTGTCTTGCATTATTTTTTAATGATGTGAGTGATCTGTGTACCTGACAAATACATCTAGCAGTTCACACAGTTAAAACTGTTTCCTCTTCCTCCCACACATCTGAGGGAGTGTGGTTAGCAGTGTGGGGTGTCTTATTCTAAGTCTACTGAGAATGCTTTCCTGCTGTCCCCCCACCTCGCATTGGGGTTCAAGCCCAGGGCCACAGGCTGGGCAAACACTGTACTACTGAACTATGTCCTCGGCCCCTCTGGCCCCTTGAGGCAAACTAAAAACATGTTTTTGAGATAGGGTCTTTCTATTATGTAGCTCTCTGGCTTTCCTGGAACCCATTGTGTAGACCAGGCTGGTCTTGAACTCAGAGATCCACCTGCTTCTGCCTCCCGAGTGCTGGGATTGAAGGTGTGCACCATCGCTGCCCGGCCCATGTGGCCTTATTAATCTCCTCCCAGTACACCTCTGCTGCTGCTTCTGCCTCCTGTGTGCTGCGGTTGAAGGTGCACACCATCATTCTTGGCACCAGATCGAAAATGTTTTAATTCAATATTTGGATGTGTGGGGCTAGAGAGATGGTTCAGAGGTTAAGAACACTTGTCGCTTTTGCAGAGGACCCAGATTCAATTCTCAGCACCCATATGGTGGCTCACACACATCTGTAATCCTACATCCAGGAGATCCAACCGGCATACACGTGGTGTACACGCACGCAGGCAAACCATTCATAAACTCAGTAAAATACATTTAAAAAATAAAAATTTTATGTGTGAGTGTTTTGTCTGTGTGTGTGTCTGTGCGTTATGTGTCTGCCAGGTGCCCTCGGAGGCCAGGAGACGGTGTCAGGTCCCGGAACTGGAGTTACACATGGCTGTGAGCCGCCATGTGGGGTGCTGTGAGTCAAGCCCAGGTCCTCTGGAAGAGCAGTCAGTCCTCCTAAACCCTGAGCCATCTCCCCAGCTCCAGAAGGCAGAGAAGACTCCCAAACTGACTTGGCAAATCCTGGCTTCTCTTTCCTCACTCTCTTCATGTCTTTCATCAAATCCTCGTTGGATCTTTTTTGGTTCCAGTTTATGTTCTAAATACAGAGACGGCAACGTCCCTGGTTTCAGGGAACTTGAGATCTATCAGTGGGGATGGAAAAAAAAGATGAGAACAGATGCAGATAAGTTAAAGTGATGAGTGCTATTAAAGTAAGTACAGTGACTGTTGGACATCTGTTTCGGCGGGCGGTTGGTGGCAACATGCCTGGTGGATCTCTGAGTTCGAGGCCAGCCTGGTCTACAGAGTGAGTTCCATGACAGAGAAGGCTACATAGAGAAACTTTGTTCAAAAGTACAAACAGGTAAAAGAGGAAATGGACGCCTGTCTCAGGCTAGTTCAGGTGTGCGGCCTCTGGAGTAACATTGTGTTGAGACATAAATGATGGTAAAGACAGCGGAGGAGTGTGTCAAGGAGAGCAGCAGTAATGGGGTTAAGTTTGAATGATGGGAGGATGGAGGAGGGCACTGGGGTGTAGCAGGGGGCAGAGGAGTCAGCAGGATTTGCAGCAGGGGGCAGAGAAGTCAGCAGGATCTGGCTCCTAGGCCTTTGCATGCTTTCTAGCCCAAGTGCCACGGAAAGCTGTCAGAGGGGCTGGGGAGGTGGCTCAGTGGGAAAAGGTGCTTGTTGTCAAGGCTGACAACTCGAGTTCAAATCCTTACGTGGGACCCACATGGTGGGAGGAAAGACGTTGTCCTCTGACCTCTGCATGCACACACCCACACAAAAATAAATGTTGAGAAGCAAAACAAACAAAAGAAGAGAAGCTATCACAGTGGCGGGATTCTATTTGGGCAAGAGGACTCCAGGTGCCGGAGAGAACACGCAGTAGGGGGCAGTAGAAAGCCTGGAGGTAGTTGCCCCATTGGTAGGAGAGGCTACTTTGGTGTGGCTGACACTTTGGGTCAGCTTAACCTCTCAGTCTGTTTCCCTGTCTGTAAAGCGGGCAACAGTAACTGCCTACCTATGGGGTCCTTAAGAGGAATGACGTGGAGCAGTGCTTGTAAACGCCCTGAGCCCTGGATGTGGATCACAGTAGTCACAATGAGTGTGATTGGCTCTGGGTCCCTTCAGCTATTCGATAAACCTGAAAATCACATACAAACCATAGCATTTGATATTTCAAAAACTTTTTCTTAAATTGTCACCCCACGAAAAGAAAGAGACAGAAACACCGGGGCCACAGAACCCCAATTGCTCTAAGGCTACAAACTTGGGGTGTACCTGATTTGGAAAGAGTGAAATTGGGGAGGTGCAAGGCAGGATGGAGAGGGACCCTGCTGGACTTTGGTGGACTATGCTTTCTTTGTTTTCTAAGGAGGAGGGCCCTGTCAACTGTGGTGTTGGGGTACTGAGGCCCCCAGGAGGTGTCTGTTCCAATCATACACTTGGTGCAGGGGCCCATCTTCTCGCCCTGGCTGTCCCTCTCTTCCTTCAGCTTCCTGAATCCATCACATAACCTCTCCATCCCATAACCTCTCCAGCTCTGTCTCAGCCCTCATATATTTAAATGCTTTATCCCTAGTTGCTGGAACTGTTTTGGGAAGAATTAAGGGGTGTGACCTTGTTAGGGGAGGTGTGTCACCAGGGGCGGGCGTTGAGGTCTAAAGAGCCCACCAGTCTTGCTCTCTCTGCTTCCTGTTTGTGGATCAGATGTAAGCTCTCAGCTACTGCCCCAGCACCATGCCTGTCTGCCGCCCAGTTCCCTGTCATGGTGGTCATGGACTCACCCTCTGAAACTGTAAGCAAGCTCCCAATTAAATGCTTTTGTTTTTTTTTAATAAGTTGCCTTGGTCGTGGTGTCTCTTTACAGAAAGAAAAGTAGCCAAGACACAACCCAACTCATCCTGGGCTGCCAGTGGGAATGAGGAAGAGTCAGCGCCCAGCACTCAGTATGGGCCTATGTGGAACGGTGTACTGCTGACTCATCATTCTGACTTGGACAGACCCTTGAGATGGGCATTGATCCACCTTTCAGATGAGCCCAGAATTGTCTGATAACAGGCTTCAGGCTTCTCTCATGTCTCCTTGCGGGGGGACCGGGGGTGGGGAGCGGGGAGGGGGGCTCCATCCCTCGGTACCTCTTGCTCATTCTTAGCATTCACACACTCACTTTGGCCAGTTCCTTCTCAGCTTTGGAGCTCTTCATGCCTCTCCCAACCGGGAAAATACGTCCTTCTTTCTGGTTTTCCCCAAAGGAGACTCATCTCTCTCTCTCTTCTTGGTCACCTCCAGCTCCCAGCTGGCCTCCCTGGTCCGCATTCTCTGCTCTGCCCTGCTCTGGGATTCCGTCGATGTTTGTTGTTGTTGCTGCTGGGAGAGGATACCTGAGAAAACAGCCTAAGGGAGGAAAGGCCTGTTTTGTCTCAGGGTGTCGGAGGGCTCAGTCCATGCTCCACTGACTCCATCACTTGGGGCCTGTGGTGAGGCAGAACATCACGGCAGGGTGGGGGGTACGGCAGCCAGGGAGCTAAGATGGGGGGGAAGAGTCCCAGGACAAGACACACCCTTCAGAGGCACACTCCTGACTGGTCTCATTGCCTTTGGGCCGCTTGGTCCCTCTGACCCAAGTTCTACTCCGAGGCAGGCTGTTGCATGCTTTAGATATCTGGCTTCACCATTGTCTTGCCAGAACTTACCCCGTTCCTTTCTCTGTAGTCCTGGGGACTGAATCCAAGGCTTCGGGCATGCCAGAGAAGCTCTCTATCACCAAGTGATGTCTCCAGTGGAGCTCCAACTCTTCATGGTCCTGTAGTGTAGCCACACCATCTTTAAATGTATTGATCATACAGTGATATCAGGAGGGCATCTTTGAGCATGTGTCTTCCTGGTATGTGTTCACTCCTTCAAGATGGTCCCAGGAATTCTCGTCCCCTGGGACTGACACTGTTAGTTCTTTTCCACAGTGAGGAGAGCTGCCCCGAGAGATTGGTAGGACAGTGTGGAAATGGTGGGCTGTTGCTGTGAGGCGAGGCCAGCAGTTACGTCATGAGGACGTTCAAGCAGCCTTGTGGAGAGGCCTACGGGTGAGGAGCCCGGGACTGTAAGCAGCAGTTAGCAGAATTTGCCTGTCATCTGAGTGAGTCACGCTGTCAGTTGACTTCCCAGTCCTAGTCCCGTCTTCCAGAGAACACGACCACTGAGTGAGGTCGTGGTATATCCTCAGGAGAGACCCTGAGCCAGAACCAATGGGCTAAGCTGCACTTTGATCTTTGCAATGAGACTACCTGTGTTTATTGTTAAAGTTGCTAGGCTGAGGGGTAATTACTTTATAATAGGTAACAAATACACATATCCAGTGGTACAGGTCTATTACACATACATTACGAAATGTATTTATCTAAATAGAAATCTATTGGAAAGGGATGAAAAGGTAAACATACACTTCCACACACCCACACACTCACACACCCACACATCCATACATACACACATCCACACACATCCATACACATCCACACAGCAACACACACCCACATATCCATACATCCACACATCCACATATATCCACACATCCATATACATCCACAATCCACACACATCTACACATTCACACACATCCAAATCCACACATCCACAATCCACACACATCCATACATCCACAATCCGCACATCCACACGCATCCACAATCCACACCTACACTTATTTACACATGCACATGCATATGTGTGCACAAGCCCACGCACACACACACATACACTCAACACTAGTCCAATACTACTCTCTTAGGGCATGGCTGTAGGGTACAGATTTCAAAATGCCTTCTTCCAGCACAACCTGCAAATAGAAAGATGCAAAAATCCCAAGTTTACAGCATTTGCAGTTTTACAAGCCAATGCTAAGGTGTCACCACATCCAGACACCAAGACACTAGGTGCATCTTCACCCCTACACCCCTCTCCCTCACCTCTACAGCCCACCTTGCTCCCTGCCGGTTGCTACCTCTGTGAGTGTAACTACTGTTCAGACTGGATCCGTGTCTGCTTGTTTGCCAGAGTAAACTAGATCAGAAGTGGCAAAATCAGAGAGTGTTAAATTAATGGCCCAATTTTCACCAAAATCCCTGGCAGCAAAGCCTAGTCTATGTAAACATGAGGATTTTTAGGACACAGACAAACAAGGACACACAGAGCAGTTGCGTTTATGTAAGCGATGCTTTCCTGAATAGCTCATAGGATCTAGACGGCCGCGGTCGGAGTCCAGTTCTCTCTAACATGGGGCCTGTGGATATTTTCAATGTTGCTCACTTTCCAAGCTAGAGGTTGAGTTCTGGCAGGCACCTCTGAAGCCCTCAGGACCGTGAGGGGCCACGTTTAAGCATCTCTGGGGACTTGGGGACCTCGTGTGTGGACCAGCCGGAAACCCTGTTCTGGGTAAAGTTCTGGAGGCAGTGTACAGGGCTGCTCATGTTTTTAGTCTGCGCTCTTTGATGCAGTATGGCAGGAAGGCAAGCTCTTGCCTTTCAGGGCCTCAGCTTTCTTGCCTGCAGAATGGGTTGTTCTCTGGGGACGAGAAAGGTTGAAGTCCTGTGGCAGAATCATGGATTTCTGGGCTCCAATCCCAGAGGAGAACTGCTCCTCGTGGCCCCTCCACGCTGCTTGGAGGACCACAGGAGAGTGAGCGGGTCAGGCTAGGGCTGGGGACCCTGGAGCTGAGCCCTTAAGAATCCACAGCTTGCAACTATAATGCCAAGGTCACAGGGCAGGATTGGGCAAGAGTCAGGGATCAGTTGGTACCTCTGATCCTGGTTAGGGATATTTGGAGATACGGACAATTCTGGGAAATTCAGAACTGAAAGGGGGAGGGCCCTGAGAGGGAACAGCAGAGGCACCCTGGCTTTTTTAGGCCTGTCTCCCCCACAAAAATGTAAAGAGTATTGAAGTGGGGCATAACGTGAACGTGAACGTGTGTGTGTGTGTGTGTGTGTGTGTGTGTGTGTGTGTGTGTGTGTGTGTGTGTAGACTCCCCTTCTCTCAGAAATAGCGTAGAGGTCACCCATGCCTTCCTCCTACCCAAACACCTCCCCAGTTCCAAATCTATTTCCACCTCTGTTTAAGGTCCAAAGTCCTGGCATTGGTGATGCCAGGTTCGGCATGCTCAGACACACAGACAGCCAGACACGCAGGGCCCTTGGATGGACCCTGTCCCTTCCTCTCCCATTGCCCAGGTCGTCCACCTGATTCTTCAGCCTTCAGCCCCCTCCTTAGCCTGGGCTCTGTGTGGAGTTGAGGGACCTTCAGTAAGTAAAGCAGGGCGGGAATATGACAGGCAAGTGAGAGTGGGTGGAGGGGTCCTGCACATGTGAGTTCACAGACGTGTGGGCACGCAGAAGTGTGTGTGTGTGTGTGTGTGTGTGTGTGTTTGTGTGTGTGTGTGTGTGTGTGTGTAAATCGGAGAGCATAGATTTTTCTTAGGATGTAGTCTTGGCTGGCCTGGAACTAACTATGTAGTTAATTCAAGCTGGCCTTGAACTCAGATCCACTGGCGTACGCTTCCTGAGTGCCGGGATTAAGAGCATACACCACCATGCCCAGCCAGGGCATAGATCTTTGGATGTCAGGCTTGGGAGCAGAGGGAGGGAAGAAGAAAGGTTCTGTTCTTCTGAGGTCACCCAGTCGGATGTAGAAGGGATCGATTGGACTTCTGGGCCTCTTCGCCCCAACCCCAGCTCTAAACTTGGCTCCCCTAGGCCCAGCTCCGGCGCTATCATGACAAAGGATTATCAAGACTTCCAGCACCTGGACAATGAGGAGAACGACCATCATCAACTCCGGAGAGGTGAGGGGTGCTCCTCACTGGAAGGATCCATGGCTCTGTCCCTCGACTCAGCTCCTTTCCCCTGGTGACTCCTAGTTCTGTCCCAAACACTCAGAAAACAGTGGCTGAGTCACTCTTGCTGGGGAGGTAGGTACAGGGCACAGTGTTGGAGTCCTTCTTACCCAAGCTTCCTCAAAGTATCACTCACTTCTCAAAACCCCAGACAGTGGGTGGATCCAAGACGTTGGGCCTACTGAAGGCTGGGGAATGAATTTGTTGTCAGCCTCTTCTGAAGTTAGGTCCCTTGTTCTCTTCAGTTTTGACAGTGTGTATGTGGCAGTGGTGGGGGGTGACCAGGATCAGCTTGATCCCAGGGGCTAGGTTGAGGACCCTTGGAGAGAGCGTGCAGAGTCTCCGCTCTGATGGAAGATGAAGCATCCTGCATCTAAAACAAACCCATCTCCCCGCGTCTTTGTCCTCTGAACAGGGACTGTTGTGTAAGCAGAACAAGGTCAGAGCTCTTGGGGTGTCCCGGGTGGGCAGCGTGCGAGGAGTACTGGGGAGGAAGAAAGGGAGAAGGCGCCACACTCCAACTGACAGGACTAAGTGTCATTTTCTCGCCAACCGAGAGAGATCCGCCTTCTCTCCCTGCAGCCCAAGAGGCACAGGATCCACGTGGAGAGGAAGAAACCCACCTTCCCCCGCACTTTGGTGGAGCAGCGACTCCCCAGGTGCCGAGGCGCAGACTAGGTAGTTCCTTGTCTGTAATGACAGGATCATGCCACGAGGTGGCAGCAGAGGTTCAGGGCCCCCGCAAACGCTCGGGCGGGTCAAAGGTTTGCACTTCTGAGATAACCCCGTTTCTTCCCCATCTTAGGTTGCTTCGGTCCTACAGGGTTGCCCACGGCCCACATTTCTTCATGTGTGTGGTTTCTCTTAGTTTGTTGGAGAGCTCAGCCTGCGCTCCTCCTGGGACCCCGGGATCTGCGCGGGGTTGGCCTGGGCCGGTGAACTCCTGACTCCTTCTCCTGCAGGGCCGCCTCCCACCCGGTCGCTCTTGCACCGCCTCTGCCCTGGATCCCGCCTCCTCCTGGTGTCCGTGGGCCTCAGCCTCCTGCTGCTGGTGGTTGTCTGTGTGATCGCATCCCAAAGTGGGTGGCCAGGGCTGGGCAGAGAGAGGGGGCAGCTTCGGGTGTGTGCGGGGGAGCGGTGGACGCAGGGGTGGGTGGACACAGACAACTCACTTTTCCATGCCCACGTCCTCTCTTGCCTAGACTCGCAACTGCGGGGCGATCTGCTGTCTCTAAGGCAGAATCTCAGCAACTTCACTGTGAGCACTGAGGACCAGGTCAAGGCCCTGAGCACCCAGGGTGAGGGGGCCCAGGTCTGGGGCCTGGGGCGGGGCTGAGGGGTGGCCCGACTGTCCGGACACTGAGAGAGTTTCTTCTCTAGGGGGTAGTGTGGGAAGAAAGATGAGGCTACTGGAGTCACAGCTGGAGAAACAGCAGCAGGATCTGAGTGAAGGTGTGTGGGGGTGAGGGGGGAGGGAGAGGGAGGGGGGGTCAGGATGAGGAGCGGGAGAGGTGAGGGAGAGGGAGGGGGGGGTCAGGATGAGGAGCGGGAGAGGTGAGGGAGAGGGAGGGGGGGTCAGGATGAGGAGGGGGAGAGGTGAGGGAGAGGGAGGGGGGGTCAGGATGAGGAGCGGGAGAGTTGAGGGAGAGGGAGGGGGGGTCAGGATGAGGAGGGGGAGAGGTGAGGGAGAGGGAGGGGGGGTCAGGATGAGGAGCGGGGAGGGGTGAGGGGTGAGGGAGAGGGAGGGGGGGTCAGGATGAGGAGGGGGAGAGGTGAGGGGTGAGGGAGAGGGAGGGGGGGTCAGGATGAGGAGGGGGGAGAGGTGAGGGGTGAGGGAGAGGGAGGGGGAGGTCAGGATGAGGAGGGGGAGAGGTGAGGGGTGAGGGAGAGGGAGGGGGGGTCAGGATGAGGAGGGGGAGAGGTGAGGGGTGAGGGAGAGGGAGGGGGGGTCAGGATGAGGAGGGGGGAGAGGTGAGGGGTGAGAGAGAGGGAGGGCGAGGTCAGGATGAGGAGCGGGGAGGGGTGAGGGGTGAGGGAGAGGGAGGGGGAGGTCAGGATGAGGAGGGGGAGAGGTGAGGGGTGAGAGAGAGGGAGGGGGAGGTCAGGATGAGGAGGGGGGAGGGGTGAGGGGTGAGGGAGAGGGAGGGGGAGGTCAGGATGAGGAGGGGGAGAGGTGAGGGGTGAGAGAGAGGGAGGGGGAGGTCAGGATGAGGAGGGGGAGAGGTGAGCGGTGAGGGAGAGGGAGGGGGGGTCAGGATGAGGAGGGGGAGAGGTGAGCGGTGAGGGAGAGGGAGGGGGAGGTCAGGATGAGGAGGGGGAGAGGTGAGCGGTGAGGGAGAGGGAGGGGGAGGTCAGGATGAGGAGGGGGGAGAGGTGAGGGGTGAGAGAGAGGGAGGGCGAGGTCAGGATGAGGAGGGGGGAGAGGTGAGGGGTGAGAGAGAGGGAGGGGGGGTCAGGATGAGGAGGGGGAGAGGTGAGGGGTGAGGGAGAGGGAGGGGGGGTCAGGATGAGGAGGGGGAGAGGTGAGGGGTGAGGGAGAGGGAGGGGGGGTCAGGATGAGGAGCGGGGAGAGGTGAGGGAGAGGGAGGGGGGGTCAGGATGAGGAGGGGGAGAGGTGAGGGAGAGGGAGGGGGGGTCAGGATGAGGAGCGGGGAGGGGTGAGGGGTGAGGGAGAGGGAGGGGGGGTCAGGATGAGGAGGGGGAGAGGTGAGCGGTGAGAGAGAGGGAGGGGGAGGTCAGGATGAGGAGGGGGGAGAGGTGAGGGGTGAGAGAGAGGGAGGGCGAGGTCAGGATGAGGAGGGGGGAGAGGTGAGGGGTGAGAGAGAGGGAGGGGGGGGTCAGGATGAGGAGGGGGAGAGGTGAGGGAGAGGGAGGGGGGGTCAGGATGAGGAGCGGGGAGGGGTGAGGGGTGAGGGAGAGGGAGGGGGGGTCAGGATGAGGAGCGGGGAGGGGTGAGGGGTGAGGGAGAGGGAGGGCGAGGTCAGGATGAGGAGGGGGGAGAGGTGAGGGGTGAGAGAGAGGGAGGGGGAGGTCAGGATGAGGAGGGGGAGAGGTGAGCGGTGAGGGGGGAACCGAGGGGGTAAGGGGAGGGGTCGGACGGGGGGGCGTCCGTTTCTCAGCCAAGATCGAAGCTTTGGCCAGAGGGTCTGTGATGACTGGTTGTCCCCAATGTTCACATCCAACTATTTCTTCGCTCCCTTCCCTCTGCTGCCTTCTGTCCTCTGCCACCCCAGATCACTCCAGCTTGCTGCTGCACGTGAAGCAGTTGGTGTCTGACCTGCGAAGTCTGAGCTGTCAGATGGCTGCCCTTCAGGGCAACGGTGAGGGGCGGGGCGACGGCGGGGGCGGGGCGGCGGCGGGGGCGACGGCGGGGGCGGGGGCGGGGCGACAGCGAGGGGCGGGGCGACGGTGAGGGGCGGGGCGACGGTGAGGGGCGGGGCGACGGTGGGGGCGGCGGTGGGGGCGGGGCGACGGCGAGGGGCGGGGCGGCGGCGGGGGCGGGGCGACGGTGAGGGGCGGTGCGGCGGCGGGGGCGGGGCGACGGTGAGGGGCGGGGCGGCGGCGAGGGGCGGGGCGACGGCGACGGCGGGGCGACAGCGAGGGGCGGGGCAACGGTGAGGGGCGGGGCGACGGTGAAGGGCGGGGGCGGGGCAACGGTGAGGGGCGGGGCGACGGCGACGGCGGGGCGACAGCGAGGGGCGGGGCAACGGTGAGGGGCGGGGCGACGGTGAGGGGCGGTGCGGCGGCGGGGGCGGGGCGACGGCGAGGGGCGGGGCGACGGTGAAGGGCGGGGGCGGGGCGACAGCGAGGGGCGGGGCGACGGCGACGGCGGGGCGACGGCGAGGGGCGGGGCGGCGGTGGGGGCGGGGGCGGGGCGACAGCGAGGGGCGGGGCGACGGCGACGGCGGGGCGACAGCGAGGGGCGGGGCAACGGTGAGGGGCGGTGCGGCGGCGGGGGCGGGGCGACGGTGAAGGGCGGGGGCGGGGCGACAGCGAGGGGCGGGGCAACGGCGACGGCGGGGCGACGGCGAGGGGCGGGGCGGCGGTGGGGGCGGGGGCGGGGGCGGGGCGGCGGCGAGGGGCGGGGCGGCGGCGAGGGGCGGGGCGACCAGCCCCACTTTCTTGACCACCCCCACCCTCGGTAGCACCTCAGCCCTTCACCCCCCACCTCAGGCTCTGAAAGGACCTGTTGCCCCATCAACTGGGTGGAGTTTGAAGGCAGCTGCTACTGGTTCTCCAGCTCTTCGAGGTCCTGGATCGAGGCTGACAAGTATTGCCAGCTCGAGAATGCCCACCTGGTGGTGGTGACCTCCTGGGACGAGCAGGTGAGGCCACAGGTGCGTTCTTCTGGGACGCTGGACGGTGGAAGGAAGAGGTCACCAGCTCTGTTTCTTTCCTCAGAGATTTGTCCAGCGCCACATGGGACCTATAAACACTTGGATTGGCCTAACTGACCAGAATGGGCCCTGGAGATGGGTGGATGGGACCAACTACGAGGCAAGCTTCAAGTGAGTGTATGCCTTGCGGGTGGGGGGCACCCAGCTTTCCCAGCCGGTGTTCCCAAGGCTAGAGATCTTCCGGGAATGTGACTGAGAGTCTGATTTCCTGGGACTCACAGCAGTCTTTTGTCTGTAGGAACTGGAAACCAGAGCAGCCAGATAACTGGTATGGGCATGGGCTTGGAGGAGGCGAGGACTGTGCCCACATCACCACTGATGGCCCCTGGAATGATGACGTCTGCAGGAGACCCTACCGCTGGGTCTGCGAGACAGAGTTGGACAAGACCCGTTAGGAGCCTCCCTCCCCTTAATTTATTTCTTTAGTGCCTCGAGCTGCTGAGGTTTGGAATTGGGAGATCCTACCTAGGGGTCTCCACCTCCTCGGGAATTTTCGTCTAGGATTTTAAGGGCAGGCTAAAGAACGGTGTTTGAGGAATGTGACATGATGCCTGATGAGGTGGGGTTACCGGAACGCTATGACGCTTTGTGCACCATGCAGCTTACTACTATCAACTTTTTTTTTAGAGTGAAAAGAAGAGAAGTGTACTTAACTATCCCTGAGCTGTCTGGTCATTGGGGATTAGGAACCAGGGGTGGGTTGGCTAGCTTTGGGAAGGCCTCAGGCCGGCAGTGGTGCTGGGAAAACAGGATGGCTTTGGACTGCTGCCTGGTTAGCAGCGTGGCTTTGCTATGTCCAGGTGTGCCAGCCTGAGGAAGTTTTTCTGTCCTTGGGTCTCAGATGGGAAATAGAATGATTCTGGCAGGACCCGTGGAGAGCCACAGACACTACCCCCCCTGCCCCCCGCATTGTGGGCCAGAGACCTGGAATGAAATACACTGGCACAAGTGTGGTGAATACACAACTCAGGGTCACAAACACAGGAGGACAGAGCACTAGTGTTAGTATATTCAACAACCAAGGACGGAGTGAGGGCAGATCAGTATAGACACCTTGTAGACATGGAATTATTAACAAAACTGGGCAAAATGTTTGCCCATAAATAGCACCAAAATATAAGAAATGATATATATATATACACACACACACACACACGCATATATGTATGTATATATGCATACACATATATGTATATATACATAAGTATACATATACATGTCTATATAAATGAAGTAATATATATGTGTTCTTTTTACAAATGCAATGTAGAAAAGTAATATTTTTCCTCTACAGAAAAGATTGGCAAATCTGACAACTAAAATTAGAAACAAGCAACAGACTTGGATGAAATAGTTGCAACACTTCTAACGAGTAATTAATATCCAGACTATAAAGAACTACAAAATCACGAGAGAAAAACTCAACAGAGAAGTGTGAAAAGAGACTGTAGTAAACATCTGTCACTTCTGTTTGAGGGAATTCTTTCCCATGTTCACAAGCAGCCCGAAGGCTACCACCCCCGTCCCCCTGCCTCCCTGATGTAGCTGCGTGCGGGCCTGTGCTAGAGACGTTGCCCAGTCAGACCTTTCGAGAAGGAAATTGTCTTGAGTATATGACGCAAATTTGAAGTAATAGCTGCTGTATGTGAATCATGTTTAAAATATTTAAAAGGGTTAGAGAGAAGGCTAATCAGTTAAGAAAGTATATTGCTCTTCCGGAGGTCTCAAATTGGATTCCCGGCAACCATAACAGCCTGTAACTCCAGCTCCGGGGGATCTGACACCTCTGGTCTCTGAAGACACCCCCACACACATGACATACACTCACACAGACATACACACTTTCACATGTTAAAAATAAAACAAATAAGCCGGGCGGTGGTGGCGCACGCCTTTAATCCCAGCACTTGGGAGGCAGAGCCAGGCGGATCTCTGTGAGTTCGAGGCCAGCCTGGTCTACGAAGTGAGTTCCAGGACAGGCGCAAAGCTACACAGAGAAACCCTGTCTCAAAAAACCAAAAAAAAAAAAAAAAAAAAAAAAATCCATGAGCCATGTTTTTGCCTTTTTTAAAAAAAATTGACAAAATAAGTCTAAATTTATCTAGAAGAATAAACACGTTTGAACTAGATGGCAGGAAAGTTTTAAAAAGAACAGCTAAGGAAACTTATCATCCCAGAACTTAACATCTATTGTCAAGTGGTGTAATTAAAATGCACTTGGCACGGGCACAGGAACAGGAGATGAGTCAAGGATGCAGGACACGCTTCAGAGCTGGAGCCAGGGAGCTCACCGGGCTGTGCTGGAGGTGAAAAGAATTCAGGGACAACCAGCCTGAGTGAAGAAGGGAGAAGATGGTGGATCATCCGTGGGGCCTCCAGGCAAGGGTGCGGGCTGGCCTTCCGTCCAAACAGGGCCTGGCGCTCTGCTGGTTTCCTGCGGGTTCTCCGTGTATTCACTCTGCCCTTGCAGGTCGTCTGCCTCCTTCTCAAAGTCTTGTGGTGGCTTAGCTTCTTTGCTCTTCATGTTACATCCTTATACCACCCCTAACTCTATATAGCTTTATATAGTTAGCTATCATCTCTCCTCTGTCTCTGTCTCTGTCTCTGTCTCTGTCTCTGTCTCTGTCTCTCTCTCTCTCTCTCTCTTTCTCTCTCTCCCTCTGTCCTCACAAATGACTAAGAAGGGTCTGGTTGGGTCACCTGATAGTGTAGTAATAAACCGGAGCCAAGGGTCTTGTCTTGGTTGCCACAGCAACTGTGGGAAGAAGGGCAAGAAATGTGTAGGTGCTGAAATGTGTAGGGGTTGGAAGTGAGGGAGAACAAACAAGTGTTAAGTATTGATTACATCCAGGGCCCCAGATAAATCCAGTGGATAACCAAGAGCTTCACATCAGAGACCAAGAGACAGGCAAACTGCTATGAGACATTTGATCCAATACACTGATCTCATCACTTTTTCTTTAAGGATTTATGTAGGTGGAAGTTTCTGTCCCACCAGCAACTCCCATATACCCAACAGCTGCAATTGACTCCAAGGCTTAATATCACTTATAAATGCTTAGCTGGTAGCTTGGGCTTTTTACTAACTAGCTCTTACACTTAAATTAACCCATAATTCTTATCTCTGTTTAGCCACATAGCTTGGTACCTTTTCTCAGTATGACATTCTCATCTTGCTTCCTCTGTGTCTGGCTGGCAACTCCTGCCTCCGCCCTTCCTCTTCTCAGCATTCTTAGTTTGGTCACCCCACCTATACTTCCTGCCTGGCTACTGGCCAATCAGTGTTTTTTTTTTTTTTTTTTTTTGGTTTTTCGAGACAGGGTTTCTCTGTGTAGCTTTGCGCCTTTTCCTGGAACTCACTTGGTAGCCCAGGCTGGCCTTGAACTCACAGAGATCCGCCTGGCTCTGCCTCCCGTGTGTTGGGATTAAAGGCGTGCGCCACCATAGGGCTGGAGAGATGGCTCAGAGGTTAAGAGCACTGGCTGTTCTTCTGGATGTCCTGAGTTCAATTCCCAGCAACCACGTGGTGGCTCACAACCATCTGTAATGAGATCTGGTGCCCTCTTCCTGTAGACATGCATGCAGACAGAACACTGTATACATAATAAATAAATAAATCTTAAAAAAAAAAAAAAAAGGCGTGCGCCACCAACACCCGGCCCCAATCAGTGTTTTATTAAACCAATTTTCATGACAAATCTTTATAGTGTACTAGAGGATTATTCCACAGCATTTCCCTCTTTTTGTCTAATTAAAAAGGAAAGTTTTAACTTTAACATAGTAAGACTATATACAACAAAAACAGATATTAAATAAGAATTACAGTAACACTAGCTAACCATTTGCATTTGGCAAAATTAGAGAAAATGCTTATCTTATTTTGGTGAGTTCAAAGTGTTGTACCTAATTTACTTTCTATCTTAACTTGCATTACCAACCCAAAACTATCTTTTTACGTCTCTCAACCTTATATACTAAAGTAAACACCTCTTTTGTGAGTGTCTTTTCTGAATTCATTAAAAAGGAAAACTATAATTACAATTATCTAGTCTTCTACTTCATCAAAGACCCAGTAAACAGGAAGTGTAGAGCAAACAACTTCCAAAAGTAAGAAATGATAGAAAGAGCTGGCTGCCTGGACAGTCACCCAAGATTCCTCTGCAACGCTGGGGCATCCATCATCAGCCTACAGGCCTAGAATATCTGACAGACTCATCTGTGAAGCAGGATTTTTGAAGGACTGTCCCACCTTGCCTTGGCAAAGTTCTGCACTCACTTTCTTTTCTGTCCTGCTTGTCCATTTGGACAGCATACTGTCATCAGTCGAGGTAAGGGCACTTTCTTGCCCAGTGGCTAGCTTTTGCCATAAAGAAAACAAACTCCATATGTAGTTTCTTCTATGCCCAACATCTTCTCTGAAGTAGATTGGTGCTGCCAGGAGCAGACGTGTCTCACTGTCATGAAAAAAGAACCTTATGTTGTTAAAACAACTTAAACGCCATATTCTATAGATCTCTGAAGTGTTTGAAGACAACCTGTCTATCTAAAATATCTCTGTTTGACCTTGAAAACATACCTAACATGACTACAAGTTTGATTGTAATAGGTGACTAATTACTAACCTGCGTTTCTTTATTGTCCTAAATAGTTTATAATAATAACTTTCAAGAACTAGAAATTTATATTGCATTGTTAAATGAGCTGTATAGGTACAATACCTTGAACAAGAGTAGAAACATATGTACAGCATGTTCTAACCAAAGTAACCTTAAATTTGTATCAATATACAAAAAAAAATCCATATCAATGTAGAATATTTAAAACTAGTAGTTGCTTCTTTAAAAAGTAGATTCAACAATCTACCTTTTATTCTATCATTTCTATATCCCCTCTTTTTGGAATGAGATCCTTGAATCTAATCTTACTTGTTCAGCTTTTTTCCTGACTATTATCCATAACAACTTATAACCAACCACCCTGAATGATGACAAACATTCATAATTTGGTTTTGGGAATGTGGGTATAGTTCTCTAGACTATTTCCTGTTGATTGGGGGAACTGGCAATCTTTGGAGGATGCTGAGAAAATTTAGGATTATGGTCAAGTCCTTACTAGAGTATTCTGTGAGGCTAGATCATCTCAGTCAGCAGGCTTGAAGTTGTTCTGGATGCAGAACTCAGAGGAAACTGCAACAAAGCACTCTGAAATGTTGGATCATCTGGGCCATCCATTCCCATTGGAGATTTTTTCAGGGGGTCTTCCTGGATCACACCTGATTTTTCTTAACCCAGAATGAATCCAGAACCTCTTATTTCCTGTGGAAATAAAAGCAGAACCTCTTTCCCCAAGTGACATATTTTTTGACTTAAATTTTGAAGTCAAGGTATTTTTAAAATGTATAGGTTGGTTTAATCTAACAGCTTTCATAATCAAATGTCTCTCAGTAGTTATCATTTGTTCATTATCAGAAAAAATTAAAGATAACACAATAACATGCAGTATCCAGACTTTTTGTGTATTTTCCATCTTTATGTGGCTTATTAAAATTTTTTATATTACTTTACTCCCCTTTTAAGGATTTTACTTTATTATTTTAAAACTATATATATAAGCCGGGCGGTGGTGGCGCACGCCTTTAATCCCAGCACTCGGGAGGCA